TTGGATTGGTCTTTCAGATAGGCCTCCAACCTGGAAGTGCTGGCCTCCTCTAGGTTTGAGTGCTTTGCAGCTGGTTCCACAGCTTGAGCTTGCTCTGAAAGATAATTTCTGCACAAAATCCGTTTTTTGTATGGAAGACCGGCAAGCTCGGACTCGCTGCAGGAAATATGGTCTGTTAGATGCAACAAGCAGAAGCCAGCACAAAGTGCATTCTGCAGGCTTATCTTTGTATGATTTTGAAGTTGCATGTTTAATTTGTATTTTACTGTGCAAAAGTAAAATTATTATTAAGCCAAAAAAGAAAAGCCATCACTGATTATGTCAGTTTCGGAAAACTTTGTGTAACAGCAAGTTGCCGTGAATGAAAATCTATTTTGTGGTTATCTAAATTGCTCTCTGAAAATCACAAGCGGTCTTGCCTCTGGTTTTCTATCTTCTTAGTGCGCCCTGTTTTCGATGGCATGATATATGTGAAAGACAAATAAAACAATCCCTCCAGAGTTTTTCAAATTCTACATGATTATTTAAAGAATGAGCAAAAAGGCCATAGAAATCTTTTATTCCAAAGACAGCCGATTATTGACCAACTTCAAAATCCATATTCTCTGCATGCAATGAGGAGAAACGCGAACATCCTGCCCAAAGTGTGCACAAGAAGCCCTGTCATGCCTGAGTTTGCATCGCTTTCTCTGCTTGAATGTGTGCTTTCAGGAGCGGCCTGAGCCTCTGGGCTATTCAAGGCGAGGGTGAGAGGGCGCAGGGGCTTTTGCCTTGCTGCATGCGGCGATAGAAGGCCGCAGAACACGCCAACACATTTTCAAATGCGCATCTGGCAAAATAGTTTAGAAGATCGCCATTGTGCGCGGGGGAGTTGCAATTATGTGCTGCAACATTGCGCCAAAGCAACATAAAGAATTCGCCTGCAGAAGGGCTTCAAACATAAACAGACCGTGCACGCAAATTTTAACGCAAATTTTCTCTCAGCCATAAGCTTGAAAACAAAAACATTGCACTCTGAGCAGCAAACGGAAATAGAGCCAAAGAGCAGTTGCGCAGAGCCTTTGGCGCACCAGAATCTCCACAAAACAGGGCGAGGAGAAAGCACGCACAGTATGTGCAGCCGAATCTAGAAGTGTCATTTTGGCTTAATTTATCCATAAAAGGGTGAATTGTGCGGCACAGCCTGTCTTCACATCGAATGTTCACATTGAAATGGCTTAAATTAAAACTATGCAGGACAAACGAAAATAAAGTAAATAAAATATTCTTATTTTTTTACAAAGAATGGATGATTACTGCTTCAAGTGGAAGGTAAAGCATCAGTGGGGAGATAAAAGCATATTTAGTGAATATTTTAACTCCTATAATTACACCTGGAGGCTTGGCTTGGTGTCTGTAAGCAGGCCATATGTGTACTTAGAGTATTTTGGGTACTTGACATTTGAAGTGTTTACAGACTATGTCATATGCATAGAGTACGCGGATGGAGAAAAAGAAGAAAAAAGAGTGACATTTGGCTTTGGAAGCCAGCTGGAGTTTGGGGTGGAGGTGCAGCCAAAGGAAAAGAAGACCATCACAATAAAAATACTCTCGGCAGTGCGGTGCTACGAGGCCAAAAAAGACACACCCTACACAGGGCTAATAAATTTGGGCGCGACCTGCTATTTAAACACGATTATGCAAACGCTCTTCCACATAAAAGGCTTTGTCAAGGAGCTTTTCAAGCAAGCGCCCGGAAAAAAAACTGTTCAGATGCAGAAGCTGTTTTACCAGCTGGGGAAAAATGCAATGTATGCGGACACCAAAGAATTCACGCACGCATTCAAGCTGAAGGACGAAGACATAGACGAGCAGCAGGACATCCAGGAGTTCTTCAAAGCTCTTCTGGACGAGCTTGAAAAGGAGGCAAAGGGAACGCCTTTCTTCAAGTATATTGAGGACACTTTTTATGGGACGCTGGGAACAACGATTCGGTGCGAAAAGGGGTGTGTCCGGGAAATTACAGAAAAGTACAATGACCTCCAGCTGGTGATGGATCTCCCATACAATGAGAGCTCGAGAACGTCGCTAGAAGACTCTTTGCACAACTACATCAGCGTGATGCACCTAAAGGAGCCAAACTTATACCACTGCGAAAAGCACGAATACGTTCCTGCGACAAAGTCTGACTACTGCAAGACGTTTCCGCCGGTTCTGTTTCTGCAGATAAAGCGGTTCAACATGGACTACGAGACAGGCGAGGTGTACAAGCTGAACAACTACTACTCGTTCCCCAGCACGCTCGACTTGTCTCCGTACACGCAAAACAAGGCGGTCGACAACCGATACACGCTCTATGCAGTCAACGTGCACCAAGGAAATGGCATGTCGGAGGGGCACTACTATGCATACATAAAGAAGCACGACGGATGGTACAAGTTTAACGACAGCTATGTCACCCGGTGCATGGAGGAGGAGGCCATACAGGAGACGTTTGGAGGGCGCCATGCATACAAGAACAAGATAAAAACAGCAAACGCCTACTACCTGGTGTACGTTAGAACGTCGCAAATGGAGGAGATGCTCAATGCAAACATTGAGGTGGTGCCCGAGGACGTCAGAAGCTCGATTGAAAAGGAGCTTTTTCTCTCAAAAAAGGCGCGGCTGGAGGTATACATGCCAAGCATACTCAAGGGGTACTGGGGCCTGGGATACTTCTCGGACGACCACCAATACTTGAGAGTCTCCCCGGGCGTGCTGGAGCTAGAGAACTCACAGTCGTACAACCAGGTGGTGGCGCAGGTGAAAAAGCTGCTCTCTCGGCCGAATGCAGCCATAGACTCTATTCTGCTGTACTCTATTGAAAGGGAGACGGCGCTTCGGCAGGTCAGGGAGGGGTCTATTGTGGCAGACATGGCCGGCAGCTCGCTGTTTGCTATAGAGGCAGACAAAAATATAACCAAAGACGACTCGTTTATTCTATTTATAAAACAGGCAAAAGCGATGGGGCAGCCGTACGACCTAAAGGTGCTTATAGACATAAAGTCGGTACACGTTGTGAACAAAAAGGCGTGTGTAAAGGAGTGGATCAAGGCCGGGCACAAGCTGACAATACCGCCATTTGCAGAGATTAGCGGAGTGCCCAAGGAGATAGATGACAGTGTTACGTTTGAAAAGCTGTTTTCGGGAGAGTCGGGCGTAATCATTCTGGAAGCAGGCGCGAAGGTCCTTGCAGAGTACTTCAAAACCCTGGCAACGCACAAGATATACACTCTTGTGCACAAGGGCGAGCAGGTGAGCAACTACTGGGTGCCTTCCGACATAACAGAGGAGCAGCTCCAGGGCGTGCTAGAGCGCACAATGGAGTCCAAGAAGTTCCGAATAACAGAGATTGCGAAGGGAAAGGTCCACATAGAGCTGGAAAAGGGGCATGTTTTGGCCTATCTGTCTGCACTGGGAGACAAGACAGAGAATGTGAACCTGTCTGAAAAGAAGGCGTACATTCTGCCAGAGTACGTTACGGGCGAGCAGGTTCTGCAGGCCTTGGGCTTGGAGAACAGCGCAGCGCTCACAGCAGACACAAAAATACTGAAGGCGTATCCGGGCGTGGATACTCTTTCATCCTACAAGATCACAGCCAGCAAAATAAGCCTAAAGGACATGGTTTTGCTGACCGTGCAGGAGGTTGACAAAAAGATAAAGATTGAGGCCGTTATAAAATACAGCAGCGAGACCATCGGGTATCCGTTTATGATTGACTTAGAGGCAAAGAAAAGCGCCATGGAGATAAAACGGATATACGGGCTGGAGGAAAGTGTTTTGATAAAATCCACTCCGATCAAGCAGACGCAGATAGAGGAAATGGCGTCGGTGAGGAAACTCTCAAAAACTGAGCGGCTTGTTTTTAGGATCACTTACTATCAGAAATATCAGCTAAAATTCACTAGGCTGTATTTTAGCTACTAAAAATAATAAATGCGTGCCCTTGTGCAGCTCAGGCCTTGCTTGGCTCTATTTTGCAAAACAATTTGAAGGGCGTTCGTAAACAAAAGCATAAATAAATTTTATTTCTGTATATTTGTAATGCGCTTTAAAATCATAGATGGCACCTCGTCTTTTGTTTGCGAAATGGGCGACAGCATGAGCGTAAAGGCGCTGTATGATGAAGTGGAAAAGAAGGCCGGCGGCAAAAGACATCTTTTCAAAGGAACCGTCCGCTCCCTTGTTGAAAGGTCCGACCTGCCCATTTCCGAAGTGTTTTCAAACTTAGAGTGCATATACGCGGACAGCTCTGCGAAGATTGCGGGCCCTGTGGAAACCAACACCTGCACGTTCTTTGACAAAAGCGCAGTCTTTTCTATTATGGAGGTGCCTAGCGATAACTCTTGCTTGTTTCATGCGCTGAGCGAGCTTCTAAGCGCGAAAAACAGCGACTCTCTCCGAAAAATGGTGGCGGACGAAATTATGAAAAGCCCGAAGTCCTTTGCCCCTTATATAGAGAAGGAGCCCTTTGCATACTCTACCTGGATTGTTCAGCCGCACATATGGGGCGGAGCCACTGAAATAACTGTGATATCAAAGATATACGAAACCAAGGTGTGCGTGATTGACAAGGACCTAAGAACATACGAGTTTGGCGAGGCTTTTCGATCTGTTGTCTATCTTTGCTACTCAGGCACCCACTACAATGCTGTTATTTCGAAAGACAGGAATGGAAACATTGTTCGTAAATTTCCGTATGGAGACAAGAAAGCGGAGTCCTTGGCAAAGGAGGCAGTCAAAAATTTTTTTACTGCGTAGAAGAGAAGGCGCTGTGCCTGCTTCTCCAAATGCACAAATAAGAGCCCAGGAAAAAATATAGGTTTTTTGTATAACAAACTTACTGATACTTTGTAAAGGATCCAATCACGCTTTTAAGGTATCGATCAATAAAACACACAAACCGACAACCTAGTCTATAAATACAGAACGTGCTACAAAGAACCAAGATGAACAAGACAATAGCATTAACATTTGGATTACTTATACTCACTTTCTTCGCACACTCAGTTTCTGCAGACTACGGCTTTGGAGCAATGGATTCAAGTGAAGATTCGTCAAGCGCCGAAGAGAGCAGCTCATCAGTAGAGGAATCGACTTCTGAGGAGTCATCCGTTGAGGAAGCGTCATCCGCTGAGCAAGCTTCATCCGCTGAGGAAGCATCTTCTTCGGAAGCAGCCAGCGCCGCAAGCCAGGAAGCAGCCGATTCTACATCCCAGAGCGCTGCTTCTCAGAGTGGTGCTTCTCAAAGCGGTGCTTCAGGAAGTGGTGCTTCTCAGAGTGGTGCCTCCCAGAGTGGTGCCTCCCAGAGTGGTGCTTCTCAGAGCGGTGCTTCAGGAAGTGGAGCGGCAATTAATGCATCGGAAGGCAAAGGAGCCGGATCTGGAAGTTCTTCAAACCCTTCTAGAAAAGGCAAGGGCAAGAAGCACTAGTTCTAAGTCCTGCTTGCAGTATGCAAATAGGATAATTTACTGTAATAAATAAGTAATATTTTATATGCAACTAACATCGCATTTCAGCTGTTCTCCCACCGCATGGCGTCCACAAACTACATATTAGGGAGATTTTCTAATTGAATGCTGTTGTAGAGTAGCGACTGTATTTTGGTTTGCCTGAGTTTTCTCTGCCTATTTAAGCGTTAAGAAAGAGATGTTTTTCATGCACAGAAACGGGTTGGCTCTAAACTGCTGGGGGAGTGCATAGGCATCTGTTTAACCAACATGGCATAGGCCAGATTGACTCTGCTGCGTGTATGTGGTTTTGCGCTTGGTGCTGCTAGCTGTCGTTTTTCTGGCCGAACGCAGTACGCCTTAAAACTATTCGCAAGTAAAGCCTAGAAATAAAAATACGTCTGAGATTTTCATCCCACAAAGTTTGAAAATATTTAGGCTCCAGAAAAGGCCTCCGCACGGCTTTTCTTTTGGACTGGCGGATGTTTTTTAGAAAGAATTTGCTAGAAGTAGAATCGCAAAGGATTAGAAAGAATTTACTTCACAAGAGGCCAGATAATTTGCAATGTCTATTTCAGATTTACAGCTTTGCACAGAGAACAGAGGCCTGCATCTTTAGGAAAATTTGGCGCAACCACTTCTTGTGCACCTCTTTCTCTCTGGGCTTCCCATGCACTGCATATTCTCTGAAAGGCGTAAAATCCACGATATTGCAGCCACCACAGGAAAGGCTCAGAATAATCTACAGCGGAAGCGCGTGTGCTAGCGGCATTGGTGTTTTCAAGCCCATACAAACATCGTCTACGCGTCAAGTGCTCTGTTTGCCTTTGCAGTGAACGTGAGTGTATTTTCCGAGTGCAGAGATTCAATCCCCTTTTTAAGCTCGGACTCTTTTAGAGTGCGCAGAGTGTCTAGCAGATCTTTTTCTGTGTTTAGCCCAAGGCCTATGGAAAACAAGTATCCGGGCAGCTCTAGCATGGATAGCGCCAGGTTTTCTGGGTCAACAGCCACAATCTTGCGCGTGTCCTCTGCCACCTGGTCCGCCGCCTTGTTCATAATCTGCTCAAGCTTTTCTGTGCTGTATGCCTCTTTTGCAGCCAAAAAGTACAGCACCCCGCCCAGCTCTGTGTAGTGCAGCCGGACAGAAATGTCCAAGCCCATGGAGTGAATCTGCTTTTGTATGGAGTTGGCAATTGCCAAATACATTGCATAGTCTTTTATGTCTTTTGTGTATGGAATTCTATAGCCCACAAACACATGGATGCCCTTTTCTTCTTCTTTTCCAGATGGCTGCTTTTCTGTACTTTCCGTGTGTGCACTTTTTGGCGTGCTCTGTAAAGAAGAAGCCGCTGAAAAGGGAGCTGCGCTTCTGTTAGGGGCTGGGCGGCAGGGAATCTCTGCTGCTGCTTTGATCATTTCCGACACGTTTATATTCCCAACTCCAACTAGTAGCGCATTCCCAGATGCAAATGTGCTCTCAAGGAATGACTGTATGGTGCACGGCGTGATCTTTTCCAGCGTGTCTGCATGCCCCAGTATAGAGGCGTTGAGCGGGCTGTTTGGGAACATGCCTCCAACAAGTTTTTCTTCTTTTTCCTGGCCGCTTTTTCGCACTCTCTGCATCTCTTCGAGTATCCGCGGAAGCTCTTTTCGCAGGCTCTCCGCCTCTACAGGCTTTCCTGCGGCAGAAAGCAGGCTCTTTGCTAGCGCGGCAGCCCCATCTCCTTTCCCGTTTCCGTACACGGAGATGTGGGTCTGTGTGGTTCGGCCGCTAACATTATGGGCTTTTTTTATGCTTGGGTCTGTCTGTTGCACTAGAACATGCTCCAAAAAGTGCGCGGTCCCTTCAGGATGCCCAGCCTCTGCGTTCTTTATAGACCCTCCTTTCAGACACACCCCCACAAGATACTCTTCAACAGGCAGTTTCCGCAGTATAACACTTATCCCGTTTGGCAAAACAGTTTTAACTATCTGGCCTTTCATTGCAAAGATGCTCCGGCAAAAATAAAAGAAAATAAAAGCGCCAAGCAAGTGCTTGCATGCGTGCTGCAAGAGAAATTTGCCCTGTGCCAAGCGCAAACGCACATTCCAAAAGCCACAAAAACACAGAAAATATCACATTTTGCACCGAAGAAAATATACTATGCATGCGCACTGTGCCTGCTTGTAGGTGTATGGCTTGGATTTATTAAACAAAAGGCACTGGGCATGCACTATCGGAAATTTGATGTGTGTGCATCTGCGTTGGCCATAAATCGCTCCTTGATGATGTTAAACATCTTTTTATACTCTAGACAATTCCCCCGGATCCGCTGGAAAATAATCAGGGTCTCTGGCCCGCACTTTTTCAAAAATATCTCGCCGCTAATGAGGTTCTTTGACCCATCGACCGTGCTGAAAGAGACAACACTCCCTGTTGCCCTGTACTGTATAAGAAGGTCAGAGAGCGACTTGCACAAAACCTGCATGCTTATGCTAGGCGGTGCACAGCTGTATATCCGCGTGGCGATGGGGAACGTGTCGTAGCTGAGAAACACGGGCTGCGAGCTGCACGCGCGCCCTGCAGGAGAAATGCAAGCGTCGGGCTGGGAAAACGCAGCCATTTCTGACGGAATCAGCTTGGCAGCAACTGTTTCAGGCGACCTGACCAGGCCGTCTGGCCCCATGTACATGTTTGGCGAGGACAGCCACTCATTAATGCTTAGCCCGCTGAGCCGAATACGCGCGTCCGGCTTAACCGTCAAGCACTTTTCAATCATGCCAAGCTTTCTTTTGTTTAGGAGGTTGAACGGCGAGTAGTCTCTAAACGTGCTCAGACGGAACCGCTCAAACTCAGGGTCCTTGGGGGACGGGCTCTCCCATGGAACAATTCCCGTGAGAATCACCAAAGCCACCATCCCAAAAGACCAGACGTCTACAAACTCCCCGTCGTACTCTCCGCAGTGAATGTCAGGCGCCATGTAGTTGGAGCTCCCGCATTGCTTGGTGAGAAGCCTTCGCCCGTTTGCGCCTCTATACACAGTCGAGCACCCAAAGTCAGCCAGCTGCAAGTTGTAGTTTTTATCCAGCAAAATGTTTTCTGGCTTGATGTCTCTGTGGCATATTCCTCTGCTGTGTATGTACTTCAGGGCAGAGAACAGCTGTTTCAAGTACAAATGGCAGATGTCTTCTGGAAGGCCCGATCCGGGGTCTATGTACATGAACAGCTCATTTTTCACAGCACAGTCCATTATTAGATATGTGTGCGTCTTTGTAAAATGAACGCTCTGAAGCTTGACAATGTGCTGGTGCACAAGCGCCTTGTGTATAGCCGCTTCTTTTTTTGCGTCGCTTTTTCTATTCGGGCAGTCTGTGAACATGATTTTCACTGCATACTCGGCCCCGCTTGCGCTTTTCCCTTTACGCACGGTCGATGTTGCACCATGTGCAATTATCTCTCCTATCTGTATATTTGGAATTTCATTCTTCTCTTGCACTGTGTCGATTGTAGACATGAAAATATTTTTTTACAGCTTCTAATGATATATTCCTAGCATGCTGCCGTTCTTTTTTAGCGAAGACTGTGCTGGCATAAGCGTGCACATACATTCTCTGTAGGCAGGAGTGCACCCCAGCCAAAGATATCTTGCATGCTTTTGTTTGGGCAGTGCTAGGTCTATATCGAAAATCAGATCCCAAGCTGACGCCAGCCTAGTGCCAGCCTGTTTTGTGGGTGCAGGGCCAGCCTGTCCTGATACTTCTTCTATGCGCCTGCACACGCAAAAAGCTCGTTTGTGCACTTTCAAGCCCCATATCTTGTAATTAGCAATTCGCCAGCTTCTAGCAAAACATCCAACATCGTTCTTTCCTTTTCCGGCTAGAACATAGTTTGTTGGTGCCAGCTAAGCACCCGGCACAGCCACAAATAGACAGCGATGCCCAACCCATTTAAAGACTGATCAGGCTTTATTCGGGTTTGCCACCATGCGCTCCTTTCTCTGCACAGCAAGTATCTGCTCTTGGGTGGCCTTGGCCTTTTATCCGCCAGTAACGTTAGCTAAGTGTGTTTTGTTTATTTAAATTAAATATAGTATGAGATACTCTCAAGATCTTCGTCTGGCAGCTGCTCTCCGCGTATAAACACATGGTCTAAGAGCTTCTCTGCCGTTGGTCTCTCCTCCCGGTTTCTCTTCATGCAGTCCCTGATGAAAGAAACAAGCTCAGGGGAAGTTTCCGGATCAATTTTTATCTTCACAGTTCCGTTCAGAAACTGGCGGAAGTCTGAGTAGTTTTTTGTGGTCCCCTCTCCCTCAGCAGCTCTTTTCTGGAAATACGAAGATTTTCTGTTCGCCAAAAACAAAGACATTGCACCAATGCACCATATGTCTGACGAAAACCCGTGCACACTCGATATCCACACCTCAGGAGACTTGTACGGGAACGTGCCATAGCATCTTTTGGGATACACTTCCTCTATTTTGTCGTTTGGAAGCTGCCTTGAAAACCCGAAGTCAATTATTTTGTACGTTATGTTGTTGTTCTGGTCCCTGTGCCCCATCACGTTTGCAAGCTTGAGGTCTAGATGCGCCACGCGCTGGCTGTGCATATATGCTAGCCCCTCCAAGGTGTCCCTCATTATTGCCCTGATTTCGTCCTCCTTCTTGGCGTTTTCTTTTATGGAAACCTTTGTATTCAGCGGCTCTATAAACAGCCAAAGCAGGCTTTGCTCTACCCCCTTGGAGTTTACATAGTTACACCGATACGTTAAATATGTTTTTACGATGTGCGGGTGGTCCAGAAGCGTGGATATCTTTTCCTCCTCAGGGCTGTTCTCTATCTTGAGGATGACCCTCTTGACTATTACCTTGCTGGGCAATTCTCTAAGTTCGCCTAAATTGCTGCGGTCCAGCGCCAAGTACTCCCCTATGTTTCCGACAAGATCGAAAACAGCAGTCATCTCCGAAAGCCTAATGGGAGTCAGCCCTTCAATAAAATCTATTTTGCTGAATTCGGAATTTTGCTCTTTCCGCGTTCCTTTTTTCAGGCAAGTCTCTACCTCTTCATTGATTTGGTCAATAAGATCATACATTTTCTCAAGAATAAAAGTATGCCTCTGAACTTCCATGAAATTATTTTTCCGTCGAAATAAAAAGAATATAAGTGTAAAAAGAATGCATGCCTGTATCCCTATAAGAACAAATATCTTTTTCCTCTGAAGCTCTGCACGAACAATCCTGCCGTGCGATAGTGTTTGCGGTTTGTTGTGCATGTGTTTCTTCTACTCTTTGTTTGTGCATACAAATTTTCTAAAGATTAAATTGCCACTAATATTGGGAAGCTGCAGAAAGAATGAAGCCTTGTCATGTCCTGGCACAAATTCGAGGCCTAGAATATATTGTTTCGGCGAAGAAAATTTTTTTACATGCGTTTGCAGCTATATAGAAGAAACGCAAGTGCGCCGGAGAGCATTTCTGGGCTGGCTGTAAATACGAAATACATTGCCACTGTAAGAAGCAGCGGAATGGTCGAAATATTCAGCAATCCAAGTTTATTCAAAATTGTAGCCATTGACGTGGGGATGAAAGACGTCCAGTCTGCGGAGTTTAACGGTGATTTGCTGATTATTACTTCCCTGTCTGAGGGAGTACTCTATCTGGACACCAACACATTTGGCATCAGAAAGTGCAAGAGAGAGGGTGCCTGGAGAGTGTGCTGCGAGAACGGAAGCCAGCTGGTGATATACAGCTTGGTGGAGGGCGGCTCGGAAGTCTACGTGGACGATGTTTTTGTGTATAGAAGTGCGGGGTACATAGTATCTGCATGTTTTGGCCGAGAGAAGGGAGAGTACTTATTCGGCACAAAAACCAGCCGGTTTGTGAGGGTGAAGGGCGGAAAGGCCTGCCTTGACATGCAGCTGAACAACAAGTCCAAGACAGCCGCAATAACGGGCATTGCGCATGTGGTTGGCGGAGAGTATGCGATGTGCACGCTGGAGGGAGACCTGTACATCGTGGACGTGGACGAGGCTGCGGTCAAGCAGGTGATAGAGGTCAGAGGCAGCGCTTTGAATGGCGTGTGCACGATTGGAGAGCGAGTTTTCATGTCCGGCGCCGACTCTAGGGTTGTGTGCTACTCCAAGACTGCGCGGTACTACACAAAGGAGTCGCAGAATGACATGGGCGTTTCCGACTGTCTTTTCATAAAGGAGTGCAATGGAAACATAATAACAGCTACTGACGACGGGTGTGTGACCGTGGGAAATATTCCGAAGGTGGAGAGGACTTTCATCCTGAAGATGTACCAGGACAGGCCGTGTGCGTACGGGAACTCAAAGATGTACGCGGCAGAGGGCCAGGAAATGCTTATTTACGATGTTGCAGAGGAAAGCGACAAGACCACGCTCATTTTCAAACACATAACAAAAAGCCCTATTCTGGAGGTGGCAGCAGTTGACTTTGGAGCCGTGGTCAGAACAAGGGAGGGGCTTAGAGTGTACAGGTACGACTGGAGCAAGAACGCAGTCTCTGTAGAAAGACAGATAAAGGGCTTTGTTTTGCGCTTCTCTGTTATAGGCGGAAACATCTGGTACGTTTATGAAAAGAAAAAGTGCCTGATTCTTTCCGTTGTTTCGGCTGAAAAGGAGAAAGCAGAGGCCTCCCAGAAAACGTGGACTCTTAGCAAAATAGGAGTGGACTTTATCCCGTCCAGCATATCACAGGGAAGCGGGGAGGAAATAATCATCTCCGGCCAGAGCGTGGTCTTGCTCAACCCAGAGAGCGGAGATTTCCGAAAGATAGAGAGCCCGGGCACCCTGTACTTTTTGGCTGCATGCCGGGCAGGCAAGGTGCACTGTGTTGGGTACAAAACAGACTCTGAGATACGCAAGTCTCTGGTTATGGTGACCCACTCGCTTGACGGGGGCATTTTGGAAAGCAGAGACATTTCGTCGAAGCTCCCGATTGTTGGAGTGTACACCACCGAAAAGGCTATTTTGCTCGCATCTCAGGGCCTAATAAAGATGCTTTCCGACGAGGAAGAGAAGAAGATTTACGTCCATTCAGTGGTTGATGGCATGTGCGTGTCTGAGAGCAGAGTTGTAGCCATACAGAGGCCGTGGGAGTTTACAAAGCAGAAACTTCCACTGCAAGTATTTAAGGAAAAATATGGAAGGCGATAGAGAAATGCCACTAATAAAGGAATATGCTTAACACGCTCCGCCTATCCTTCCTGTACATATTTGGTGCCTTCTGACTCTCCGGCAGATGCAAAAGCCCAGCACGCCCGGCTCTCTTCGTGCAGCGGCGCATTGGAAAACATTTAAATCTTTGTTTGAGGCATAAATAGTGCATTTAATGATTATAGTCTTCTTCCACGACGACCTCCCTTCTTCCTTGTTCTATCAGCGGCAATGGGAGTCACATCTTCGATTCTTCCTATTCTGAGGCCGTTTCTGGCAAGTGCTCTAAGGGCGCTCTGTGCTCCAGGGCCTGGCGTCTTTGTTTTTACACCTCCGCTGGCTCTTACTCTAACGTGCACGGCGTTGAATCCTGCGGCCTTGGCAAGCTCTGCTGCTCTCTGGGCGGCAAACATAGCGGCATACGGACTGCTTTCGTCCTTGTCCGTCTTTACGATCATACCTCCAGTCACTTTGCAAATGGTTTCTCTTGAGGTGAGATCAGTTATGTGCACAAAGGTGTCGTTGTGGGATGCGTATATGTGAGCTACTCCGAACACAATCTTGGCTTGCGGCTGTTCTGTTACTTCCGGTGCTACTTCTGCAGTTACTTCAATTTCTGGCTGGATTTGCTGTTCAACTTCCATCTGGGGTATAAAAAGAAAAAATATTTTATTGCTTAGAAATGTTTTCTTGCATGAACTTCACAGGCGAATGCACATTTTGCTACAGAAACACCGAAGACGAGCCGATTTTGTACTGCAGCTGCGGAACGGAAATGTGCAGCTCTCACTCAGACATGCACCACCACCCGGGTCATGCTGTAATATCGGTTTCTGTGGCAGGGAGCATGCCTGATATATCAATAGAAATAGAAGATTTCGGGAACACGGTTGATAAGGACCTAATAATAAGCCAAGTGCGGCAGGCCCTTCTTTCCCCGAAAATAGAGGGCGGAGAGCTGCAAAAGTGCGAGCACGTGTCCTACGAAGACGCGCTTGCAGTAGACACTAGCGTGTGCAGCGAGTGCGAAATCGACAGCAATACCTGGCTCTGCACAAAGTGCAACGTTTTGTTCTGTGGGAGAGAGCAGTACGGCGTGGAGGGCAAGGGCCACGGAATGAAACACTACAGCGAAAATGCCGAGCACTGCGTGTTTGTGAAGGTCCAGAGCATCGACGATGTCCGAAAAACATGCGATGCATACTGCTACAAGTGCGACAGCATGGTGTCAAATGGCTTGTATGGAAAAATAAAAAGCACGCTGCCAAAAAAAGACAGCCCCGCACTGAACACTCTGGAGGTGTCCAAAAGAATGAACACAAAAGTGGAAAATTTGCACCTGGGCTCGGAGACTGCATTAATACCGTACACGGTTGTGTGGAAAACAGGCGGCATGACTGACCTGGGAAACACATGCTATATATCGTCTGTTCTGCAGTCAATTGCATACTGCCTCAGGGAGAACATGCACAGGCTAGATCCTGTGTACGAGACAAACTGCGAGGGCCCAAAGGACTGCTTTGGATGCCAGTTTGCAAAGGTGATTCGGCAGATAGACGCCTCGCATAGGCAGAAGGTGGAGAGCTTCTCCGTGGAGAGGCTGTGCACTATTGTGCAGAGCGTATATCCGCGGTATGTTCTGGGGACGCAGCAAGACGCGTCAGAGTACTTCACAGACCTTGTTGAGCTGATAGGAAACTACGACGAAATGGGGCACTTCAGCGATGTGTCGGGGGTTTTCAAAATTAAACAGGATATGCTGATTGTGTGCGATTCGTGCGGGATGTCAAAGAAGCAGGGCGAGTCTGCGCCAATAGTGTACATTGGGTCAGAGCAGACAATAGACAGCCTGTTCATGGAGGAAGACTTGCCTGTCACGTGCAGCTGCGGGGAGAAAAAGAAAAAAAGAGCCAATATAGTGGAGCCTCCTGCGGTCTTTTCCGTCGGGATAAAGAGAGGGCTGACAGAAGGCGAAGGCGCGCGCGCCCCGCTGGAGAGCAGATTTACGGTGAAGGACTTCCAAAAGAAGGAGCGGGTGTACAGGCTTCTGGCTGCAATTGTGCACAGAGGGACTGCTCATGCAGGGCACTACATTGCGCAGATCCCCTTGGAGGAGTGCGCTTCCGATTTAAAGGGCCGGGTGTACAGTGAGTATCAGAAATGCGCAGAGGCATCGCAGAAGACGCTAAGCGAGGATGAGAAGGCCGGCAAAAAGAAAATCGTATCTAAAAAGAACGCATGTGTGATTTACGACAACGAAAAAACGGGAGTGGACGCTCTTTTTGTAGAAGACACAACTGTGCTTTTCTATAGGCTGTGCAGTGAATAAAACACATTTATCATATTGATCTGGCGAAAACATATAAAAGTGGAGTCCTATTCTCTTTGAATGAAATTTCGGGCAGATTTTCTGGAAGGGAAGTGCACACAGTGCCTTGTTGAGAACTACAAGAGCATTGTGGAACTATGCTCGTGCGGTGTGGAGCTCTGCGAGAAACACGGGTATTTTCATCTTTACAAGAGGCATGTAAAATTCCCCGTGGAGATACATAAGGAGAACGACATAACCGAGGTAAGTCTCAAAGCAAACGACCTTTGCATGATAGAGGGATTTTTGGAGCTGCTTAAGTGCAAGACCATTGCAAACAGCTATGTGAGGTCTTCCAAATGGAGCTCTCCGTGCATGCACACGTTCAAAATATTTAAGGAGATGGGGAAGGTTTTCTATTCAAACGTGCCAAAAACCATATACTGCAAAACCTCCGCCTGCAGTGTCTGCCTGCTCCAGGAGAACCGGTGGCTGTGCATTGCCTGTGGGCTTGTTTTTTGCGGCCGGAAAAGGCACGATCTGGAGGGGAACGAGCATGCATACGCGCACTTTGAAGAGACCGAGCACTGCTTGTTTGTAAATATAGATGCACTTGTGCGGAGGCGGACGTGCATTGTGGCCTTTTGCTCGTTCTGCGGGGTGTTTGTGCTTGACGAAATCATCAACAAAATACTGGCGTGCCAGTATTCTATTATCTCGGGGTGCTACGCGTGCAAGTCGCAGGAGAGCGCAAAAGGGAGCCCCGATCTCGGAAGGAAAGAGGGGTGCAAGTGCTTCCAAAGCCTCCGAGCGGAAAAGTACCAGAAATCGCCTGGGTATGCACTGGCGGTCATTCACGCTATTTCCTATGGGATTCTCAGCACAGGAAACATGGCGATATTCAACGACCTAGTCATAAAGGAGGAGAACAACGAGTTTCTAAACTCTTTCAATGAAATACTTGTAAAAGTGTTCTGCATGCACGCTCTAAAAAAGTACGAGTACATATTTGTGGACCACATTGAAGAAATAGTGAACAACTCGTATGAAAGGTCGGGAGAAGCCATACAAATGGACGCCGCCCGCTTTTTCAGAAACTTCTTGTCGCTTTTAAAGCGAATGGAAAGGACCGACGGGAAAAAGGCCAGCATCTCCGGGCTTTTTTACGTTCTTGTGAGGTCGCAAATAACATGTGGCGCGTGCAAGGAGAGATGGGAGCGGTCCGAGAAAATATCTATTATATACCTTAAGCCGCGGCAGTCTGTTTCCGAGTACTTCTCCACAAAGCAGCTGGACGCGGTCTGCAAGTGCGGGGCAAAGACAAAAATTGTGACTTCTTGCTTGGCAAACACGCCCCAAATAATTGCCATCCGCTTGAAAAGGCCATCAAACTCGATTCTTGGAAACAGCTCTGACCACGAAATAGAAAAAGAAATCTTCATACCGTGCATGGAAATGGACTCGCGGGAGAGCGCGCCCCAAGAGTGCGAGGAAATGCTTAAGTCAGACCTGATATCCTCTGAGGTGCACAACAAAATGAAGGACCTCTTTGTCACAACAAAAGAAGATGACTCGCTTGATGAAAACGCAAATAGCTCTCAGAGGATTCTTAAATACACGCTCCGCGCGTCTGTGGCCCACCAAAACAACACGCGGGGGAGGTACTATTTTTCACAGATACTGGACGAAAGAGAGTTTCCAAAAGACCAAAGCGTGGACATTGAAAGCGTTCTCTGGAACACCTTTATAGAAGGGAAAATATGCAAGCTCCCTTTCTTTAAAAGCGACTCAACGCTTCTTTTCTATGTACGAAGTGAAATGTAGCGCGTCCTGCAGCGGCCTCCACCCCGACCTGTATGGGGCAGCCCTTTTGTAACCGCTCGCACTCTATTTGCGGTTTCTACACCTGCGAAAGAGGCAGCGGAAAGCACCGCTGCTGCAGTGCCTCAAATTGCGCCTGCTAGTTTCTTGAGCCCGCACTATTTGAGCTACTGCAGCCAACTTCCTTCGCCTGAATGCCCCAGAATGCAGCCGTTGGCTCTATTGTAAACATCAACGCATAGAAAAGCCTTTTGCCAGTCGTGGCTGTGTGCACCACTTTTTGAATGCTAAGCAAGCGCTCGCAGAAAGCGCATATAAAAATAAAGTGTAGTGTCCAATTCTCAAAATGTATGGTTTTTGTTCCTGTGTGCAGGGCGGATCGGATGTAGAGACAAGCAGCACAAAAGCAAAGAATAGACCCTGCTTACAGGAAGGCCCAGAAATGCACACAAAGCCTCTGTACAGCGGCCAAAGCAGGGAGAGAAGCATAACTCGCACACGCGCATTTATTGTCGTGCTGGCCAAGCAGCACAGAGATCTACAACATGGCAATAGACGCAGGCAGGCTATTGGACTGTAAAAAGAAGGACGTTCGACCCTTTTATAAAGACAAACCCTTTCTTCAGGTTGTCTGTGCCTGGGATGCTTTGCAGAACTATGTTTAGGTACTTGTCCACCGCCAGAAGGGTGCCTGTGTACACGCGATTGCAGTAGGTCTTAACAGAAACCGGAGAATGGATAAATTCAGAAAGCTCTTTCATGCAAAAATATTTTCACACAATGGAAAGAATAAATATTTCGTATAAACAGACAAAGAAGGGAGAAGTGCGCAGAATGCCCATGCAGATGTACATGCAGGAGAGCACAAACTGTGTCTTTGGATGCTGCGGAGGCGCAAACCCCAGAATACAGGAGCAAATAGGCAGGTCTGCGTGCTTTTACATTCTTTCGGACGAGTTCATTCACGACTTTATCGTGTTTATAGAAGAGAAGGCGCTCACGAACATAATCATAAGCAGAACCGCGGTGCAGGAGCTGAAAAGAAAGTACATGAACACGTTTAGAAGGCTGGAAGCCGTTATAGACAGGTACAATCTTCCCTTGATAGAAGACGCCAACTCTGCAAGCGTGTGGGCGTGTGCAGGAGCCAGGCCGCGGGAAGAGTACTACAGCGGGCTAGCAGAGTGGTACCAAAACCACTTGCCAATGCTCCAGTTTGTGGCAGTGCACTCGCGCCGGGAGGGCGAAGGGGAAATTCCATCCTCCATGTTTACGCTGGGAGTGGGCGCGCAGCTGCCTGGAATATCGATTGAAGCAAAGGAGCCGCACGCTCGATACTGGAGCAGGGAGGAAATTGCCGAGCTAAAAGACAAGGCCGAGTTCGGGCCTATAAACATCCCGGACAGAGTCTCGGGCGGAGCGATTGTGTGCAACATAGAGGGGCACCAGACGCGAATTGAGGTGCCAAGAGAGCACCTTAACCGGGCGATAGACAACGACTGTGTTGTGGTGGAGGTGGTCCATGAGGGGGGCGAAAAATGCATAGGAAGGGTTGTAGACGTAGAAAGAAGGTCTAGAAGGCCCTTTCCATGCACGCTTTTAAAACGGGTGGACGGAGCGCACGTGCTGCTAGAGCCAGAGATGGAGAACCTTCCAACAGTTCTTTGCTGCGTGCCCGAAAGCGTGGACCTGGAAAACAAAGTGCTTCTGGCCGCTGTCGAGGAGTGGCCCGAGCAAGAAGAGTATCCTGTTGGGTATCTGGTGAAGGTCACGGGGGAGAAGGACACCATAGAGGCCGAAACTGCAGCTCTCCTGTCCCACCACTCTATTCTCGACCAGCCGTTTGAGGCAGCTGCACTGCAGGAGCTGCCAGATGAAACCTGGGCGGTTTCGCAGCAGGACCTGAGCGAGCGAGAAGACCTCCGGGAGTATCCAATTGCAAGTATCGACCCTGAGGGGTGCGTGGATATTGACGACGCGCTCCACGCTGTAAACAACCCGGACGGAACCATAGAAGTGGGCGTGCACATTGCGGATGTAACGCACTTTGTCAAGGCAGACAGCTGCTTGGACCGGGAGGGCAGGATTCGAGGGTGCACAACGTACCTTCCAAACAGGAGAATCGACATGCTTCCGTCCTTGCTGGGAACAAACCTGTGCTCGCTGCACAAAAATGTGGACAGACTGGCTTTCTCTGTGATCTGGAGGCTGCGGATAGAGAAGGACAAAGTCGTTTTCCAGGACAGAAGATTTGCCAAAACAGTTATCCGGTCGAAGGAGTCGTTCACGTACGACCAGGCATCGCATGCTCTAGAGACAGGAGAGTACAGGTCCAGAGAGATTTTGGAGTCGATCCAGAGCCTGAAAAAAGTCTCGCGCCTTCTGAAAAAAGAACGGCTGCGGACGGGCGCCTTCATGATACACTCGGACGAGTGCAGAATAACCGCAAGAAGTGCAAAGCGGTTTTGCGACATCTCTGAGGACCCGGGAAGCCACATGATAACAGAGGAGGACCACGCCGAAGAGCACGACACACACTCCCTGGTAGAGGAGTTCATGCTGCTGGCAAACCAGCACGTGGCCGAGTACATTTCAGAAAAGTACCCGAAAGAGTCTCTTATAAGAGTCCACCCTCGCCCTGCACAGTCCTCTTTCAAGGAGCTGGAAAAAGCACTGTCCCACATTTCAGGAGCAGACAGCATCCGCCTGGACCCTCATAACCCGTCCGAGCTCTCCAGGGTGCTGAAAGAGTGCTCAAGCACGCCCGGCCTGAAAAGCACAATTGGAGCTTGGGCAACAAGATGCATGACACAGGCCGTGTATGCGCCGTCTTTCATAGGGTGCAAGCTGCACTATGGGCTGGCCATGGAGAACTACACCCACTTTACATCCCCGATCAGAAGGTATGCGGACGTAGTCGTCCACCGGCAGCTGCACTGCGCCATGCACTCGCACAGGTACCCTCCCGTAACAGAGGCAAGGCTTGAAGAAATCTGCGACTCTGTCAATAGATCGTATAGATCAGCAAAGTGGGTTGCTCGGCACGCACACAACTTGTACGTCCGATACATAATCCTAGGAAAAGTGGTAAGTGTTGTTGTGACGGGCATAAGCACGGAGAGAATAGAGGTGTATCTTCCATACTATGGAATCACCGGGGTGCTTGTCCTGCCGCCAGGATGCAGAGTGCACGAGGCAGAAGGCGCAGTGCTTGGCAGAGGTGGGCAGCGGTGGATTTCGCTGTTCTCTGCAGTTTCGGTCTCTCTTAGCCCGGAAAACAAGAAGATTTTTGTGTTTAGCCCTGCCAGCGCATGAGTGGGGCAAGGCCCGAGCGCAGCTTGTGAGACAGAGAATTCAGAAGCACACAGTGCAAGAAATTAAAAATATGCCATATACCCGGACTTTGCTTTATTTATTTTTAGTTTTTGGCGCTTGAAAAAATTTGGCCGAATTTTAACTATAAAATAAAAAATTCTGCAAATTCAACACCCTTGTAATGGCAGTAAGAAAGACACAAACCAAAAAAGAAGAAGAAGAAGTTAAGAAGGTCGCTTCTGTAGAAGAGTCCAACTCCGAGGAAGTAACCAAGGAGGAAGCCTCTGACGAGAAGACTGCTTCCGAGCAGAGCAGCAACGACTCTGCTGAGGAAAACAGCGAGTCTCCAACAGAAACCGACTCTGAGGAGGGATCAGAAAAAGGATCAGACGACGGATCAGATTCATCGAACAAGGAGGAAGAAGCAAAGGAGCCAGAAGAGAACAAGGACGAGAGAACCATCTTCATAAAGGGAATCACATTTGGATGCACCGAGGAGAGTTTGAAGGAGCTTTTTGGAAAGTACGGAAACATCACAGAGGTGAGAATTCCCCGAAGCAGAGACGGACCAGGCGGCAAGGGATTCGGATACGTTGAGTTTGAGTCAAAGGAGTCGTGCGAGAAGGCCAGGGAGCTGGACGGAACAGAGCACGAGGGAAGAATCATCGTAGTCGACATGGCTAAGTCCAGCCAGAGAGAGCCTAGAGCAGACGGACAGAGAGGCTTTGCCAACAACAGAGGCGGAGAGCACACAGTTTTCCTAGGAAACATTCCGTTTGACGTTGACCACGCAGACTTCATAGGGCACTTGAAGACGTACGCAGATGTGACCCAGCTGAGAATCCCAGAAGACAGGGAGACCGGAAGGCCCAAGGGATTTGCGTTTGCGTCTGTGGCAACAAGCGAGGAGGCACAGAAACTTATTAACTCAAACATAACCTACATGGATAGAAGCATCAGAGCACAGCTGTCCGAGAAGAGAAACAACAACGGACCAAGAGGAGGCTCCTTTGGAGGACGGGACAACTCGTACGGAAGAAGAGACAACGAAAGGGCCTTTGGAAAGAGAAGCTGGGCGTCTGAGAACAGCAACAACAAGAGACATGTGAAGTTTGAATAAATAATCGCGTCTATTTATTGGCATAAAGTGATTTCTTTTTCTGTGCGAGCCTTTCCACGGAAAGCATTATGGGGATGGCTATTATGGTTACTGCGGTAAGAATCGAGGAGGCCCCCGTAAGAAGCGTTCGAGCGCTCTCTTGAAAAATTTTCATTCCATGGAGGAATTTTTCGCTTTTATTTGTGGAATGCAAAACATATAAACCTTCTAGCGGCTTGCACCTTTCTTTCGAATGAAAATACTGAGAAGCAGCGCAAAGAGCATCTTTTGGTCATTTCAGGCCGTGTTTTTTTCTGTTGTTCTGTACACCGTGTGGGAGCTCTGCAAAAAGGATAGCTCGCAAAACAGAATGTATCAGTGCGGCAGCAATGTTCAAAGATCACACAATGTGCATTTTATTCTCAGGGCTGCGCAGAGCGACGACCACAGCGAGGAGTTCTTGAGCGAAACAAGCGACAGCTACAGTGAAAGCTACGACCATACAAGCGGCAGCGCGTATTTTGAACACATTGATCTTCACAATGCAATAACTCACTAATCTAACCTAATCTAATCAGCCAGCCATAATCTGTAAAAGAGCCAAATAATAAATATATGTCTGTGCTATTCTGTCTTTCCAGTTTCTGTTCGCAGCGGGGTCTCGCTGCAGACAGAACTTTTTCTGGGAGACTTCAGCGAGACCCCATGTGCAAGCCCTTTTGCGCAGGGCTTAGATGACCTTTTTGGCGAATGAGAGCAGGCTGGACTGCTTTTTGGCTTTTTTTACAGCGTTTAGCCTGTTGACTCCAGACTGCACCTTTCCTCGATCAAACCCGTTGGCATCAACTAGAAATCGGAATAGCTCCTCTGTGTCCGGCGCATCTATTGCAAAGGCCTTTGGCCTGTCCACGCGCTGCAGCAAAAAAATGTTCCGGGCCTCCTTGTATGGCCAGGAGTCTGCGTCAATTTGGAGGCTTTCGCACTCAACAATTTTTTCTATTGTTCTGTGCTTCTGGATGAGCTCGTACGCCTTTTTAGGCCCAACGCCTTTAGGCCTTTTGCAGTAGTCGCACCCCAGAAGGATGCACAGGTCTACAAACTCCGTGTGCTCGAGCTCGGTTTGTTTCAGCGCCGTCTCAAGACATATCTCCATAACAGGGACGTTCTTTTTCATTATCGACGGAAGCAAGTTGCGCAAAAGCATCTTTCCCCCGAACGCCAGCGAGTCCATGTCCTCCGAGACAACGGCGTCAACGTATCCTGCCGCATTAAGGGCGGCGCAGTATCCTTCTGCCTCGTTTGGCGCTGTTTCATACGGCACGCCCATGGCTTTGAGCAAGGCCTGCGCAGACTCAACGTGGTACTTTGTTGCGCGGACAGCTCTTTTTACATACTTCTCCCGGTCCTCCTCGGTCTCTGCAGCCTCCAGGTCTTTTTCTGCTTTTTCTTTTCGGTCTCTTCTTTCTTGCAAAGTGTTTTCCTTCAGCTCTGGAGCTTGGCCGTCAAAAATGTACACGGGAATGATTCCTTTTTCGAGAATGTTGATGGTTTTGTAGAATATGCCGTATATGTGTGCAGTCGTCTCGCCTTCTTTGTTTGTAAGGCTGTCTATCCCATGGCGAATCGCCACCAGGGACTGGTATAGAATCATGCTTGCGTCAATGGCCACCCTCCAGCCTCGGCACTTTTCTGCCTGTGTGTTTCGCACGGACTTTGGCGCTTTTTCTTTCAAAAGCTCTGTTAGTTTGCATATTCCCATGTCTGCAAAATATTCTTTGTATTTAATATGCATCCGCATGGCACTATGCAGAGCCGCAGACGCGCGG